AAAAAAAATGAAAAAAAAGAGTAAAGAAATCTAGTGTGAGCCATTCTGCCAGTTCTCTCACTAGTAGTTTTTTTGTACAACGTTTGATATTTGTGAATTTACAGTCCATTAAGAACTGTCATTTTAAATATAAAACATAGAGCATACCTCATTTTTGGCTTTCATGGCAATTTTCTCAGCTTCTTGGGCAATGGCTAATGCTTCCTTTAATGCTTTAGCAATGTTGGAATATCTTTCTGACGCATTGTAAGCTTTGCGCGCAAACTCAATGTCTGTCAGCAGCTTTTCTAGGTCATCAGCCTGCTTACGCAGTTCTTCCGAATGATTCTGAGCCATATCAACTAAAGGATTTAAATCGTCCAGGATTTGAGAAAGATTGGCCATCTTTTCATCTACCTTTTCAATAAGATCATCAAGGCGAGGAAAACTTTCATTAAAGTCCTGAAAAAGATGAATAATAAGATGGGATAGAGAATGACGTGCAATGACATATCCCAGCATCCTTAACTCGACTCTAACCTTGCATTATACTGCAAACAGGTAATGAGAATACTCAAACTTATCAGGTTGAAGTTATCTTGATCTTAGACCTAATTCCCCAAGCTAATTTAAAAGGAAATGTGTAGCAGCTTGAGGGTGAATCTTAGGGGTTAAGAAATGAAAATGTGAAATAGCAAGAGGCTAAAAAGTGAAACAACACTATATTCAGTGTGTAAAGTAACCTGCCCCAACAAGTAAAGCTCGACTGTTTGCAAACACAGGTAGAATCGACTGCAATAAAGCTACTCTAGTCTCCAGTGCCCTTCACATTTACTTTTCTTGTGAATAGCTTTTGAGCAATTTTCAAAATTGTATCTGTTAGCTCCAAGGGACCTGAGACTTATCGGAAAAAAGTTTTTTACAGACTGTTGTCCCACAAAAAACACACAGTAAGTCCTGAGTTAAACAAAGGTTATAACTAAGGAAAAACAAAGATTTGTGGTTCTTAATTCCCACTAGAGTTTGTCCAGTAGAATATTGCAACACACTGAAAAAGGACTTAGCATGTGCTGCATCCACACAGATGTGAAAAATATCTGAAGAGTGAGAAAAAGTTATGGCTCCATGCTGGATACTGCTGTTAAAAAGGAAGCAGCCTTAGGGAACAACATGATAAAGCAAATGCAGGATTAAAAAAAATGCAGTTCCACAAATTTTTGAAGGTGCTAATTAGGCTGGTGTTATGATTGACATGATCCCTTTACAGAATATTCAAGAAAAAATGCTCCTAGTTGTACCTGTAGGTAAGTACTGGAATTTTGTACTTTATCCTTAGCAGTCTGTATCACACCTTCCAGGTTATTCAAGGCAGTGTCAACCTCTTTCTTTAAACCCACTGCTTCTTTCATGGGTGTCTAAGGAACAACATAAAAAACTACTTCTTATAACATTATTATAATACATGAAATAAAAATTTTAAACCAGGTCCTGATGTTTAGTGATATGAATAAAAAAATGATATACTATAAAAAATTATATCATATGAAAAATTATGTACTATAAAAATGATATACTATACATACTGATACAGGTCAAAAAAAACATACAAACATGGTTGAGATGTGTTTGTTTCACAAATCAATTTAAGACATATTTTTATTAGAGGATTGAGGACTTTTCCCATTTTAACCCACCTAAACACTTAAGAGGTTCAAAGAATTCTTGAAAGCATCTGACACTCTCCCACTCCCCCCTTGTTTAAGTAAGAAATGTAAACATGGAATAAGTACTCTATTTCTTTCAGTGCTAACAAGTCAATCATACTATCACTGACTTTTCATATCAACTGGAAAATACAAGGTGAGAAAATTCAAAGGATCCTTTGAAAAACAAACATACAAACACAAAGAAAAGAACAACAACAAGATCTTGACTTACACCTACATTATTTATACCTCTTGAAGTATAGAGTGCTATGAATGACATGGGGTTGATTAAAGCAAAAAAACACTAAAAATTACTTCTTATCATTAGTTAATTTAGCAGGCTGCACAGTGAAATTGATTTATCATAGTACACACAGTAAATGATGACATATGATGACATAAAATGCAGCATTATCACTGAAATTTTGTAATTACCTGTGAGTCGTAAGTCTTGCTGATATTGTTTAAACCCAAAGCATAGCTGACATTTTCCAAAACTCTGTTGGACTCATCCACAATTGAACTAAATTTACCAAAGAGTTCATCCAGAGTTTTGTTCACATCCATAACTTTGCTTAATAAACTTGTTGTGTCATTCAAATATTCTTTTGCTCTTTCGATAGTAGCCATCACCAGTTCACGCTCTTCAACCATTGTATTATTAGCAGATTCAAAGTCTCTTTCCAAAAGTTCCTTTAAGATTTCTTCAGCTTTTTCTAACAACAAAGTTTGGTTTGCCTTTTCATTCTTTAAGCTTTTAGCTATTTTCTCTGCCATAACTATGATGTCTGAAATGGTAAAAAATTATTTGGAATAATAGTAAATACAAAATATTAAGAAATAGGGTAATAGGTTGAAAAGTTTCCAGATTTTTTTCTTTTTTTTTTATTCAACTTCTAAATTGCAATTTGCAAGTCATACATCCTAAAGGCAACAAAATGTTCTTAACTAACAAGAACTAAAAGGCTACTTACCATAAGTTCGATTAAGGGCCTTACGAATTTCTTCTTCTAATTCAAGAGCTTCTTCCTTTGTAGACGTGGAAGTTTCCAAAGCCCTTTTTGCTTGGTCTGTTATCATCATTACCATTGTTGTTACATTGTTTCCTGTTTCTTCACTACTGTCTGTCCTCTTAATGAGATTGTTATCCTCATCAACATCTCCAGAACTTGTGTTTGCAGCTGCTGGGATCAAATAGTTAGCCCACAGAATCAACAAGTATTACTACCTCTTGTAAACCTCTTAGAAGACCACTTTGCAAACAATAACAGGAATAAAATTTGAGTGCAGAAGAGGGCTGGGGAAGCTGGTTTGCTACCAACTAGAAATATTGTGGATGCTCGCTCAAACATTAACGTGTTGCAGCAGCTATAAGCTATTAGATTGATGGTGGACGTACAATAACATATGCATATATCTCATAGAAAGAGGGGGAAGGGGGCAGTTATTGAAAAAGAGAATGAAGTAATGGTAAAATTGAACTCATGGAATTTACAAAAGCCTGTATCAGAAACACAACTTTTTTCACTGAAAATATTCATTAGACTATAAATATCCCAAGGTAAAATGAGTGTAATGTAGTGATATCAATGTGTTATAACTGATTAACCCTTAAACTCCAGAAAAAATGGCAGGCCTCTAATTTCTCCTTACAACATCAACCTTGACTTAAATGTAAAGGTCATGAGAATAAAGGAAATGATCATTATTTTAAGAAGCTCCTGATTGTTAACAAATACTTCTTTTAAGTACCACAGGAAATGCAAAGAGGACAGCACAGAGAACATGACACCAATGTAAGGATGCTAAAAGTTAACAAATTATCTATGTGTAAATGTTAACTGTATGATGATCAAGATAATAATATTAGATGTGCAGAAATATTGTTGATTACCTGGGTCACAAGCATGTTTTGCAAAAGATAACTGTTTCTTAGTGAGTGCTTCATCATAAATCTGAAGACAAGCAACTCGGCCTTTAAAATAGAAGGGTAGTCCTTCCACACTACCCATCAACACAAATTCACTTTCAGTGGCAAGCTCAATTACACCAATATCGGCTTCATCCTGCAACTTTTCATTAACCCAAAGCCTTGCTTTACCACTGTCATAATCATATGTAGCAGCAACATGGTTTCATGTGTTTGGAGGCACTTCATCACTTTTCAGAGTTGAAATGGCTCTCTGATTTCTATCATGATTGAAAAACCTTAGCTCAAAAATGTCCCTGGTGAGCCAAAGATTAACTAATAGCTAATAGCTTGTGTATTACTCTGATGAGAAAACAACATGAAATCTAAAGGTGCAAATTACCATAATTAGTATTGATCTGTGTGATGATAACATATTTGACTTTCCAACAGTTTCCAACATATCAGATGGGTGATACAATTGTCTAATTAAGGTTTGGCATTGACTGGACTTGAGAAATAAAAGAGTCTCTGAAGATTTTAAAGGTTTATTTAAACAGGAATTTACAATTGCACTGAGTATGATGATTCTTACCATTTACCAATGACATTCCAACTACCTTGGACAGTTCTTCCATAGTTGAATTATATTCATTAGTTGGTGGAATTAACCTGATAGTGAGTAATCATATGTTAGTAGTGACCCAACACTGTACTCAAAGGGTATTGCAGCTCTCAGGAATAGCCTACATGTGCTTTGCAGTTTTGGGAAATTGACTCTTTATACCAATAATTCTCAGGTTCAAAAGGTTCAGTATTGCTTATAAGAAGGCAGCAATTCTTAATAATGACTAACTATAGGATCATGTTTAATCCTGCACAACTGTTTGTGATAGTATGTGTTTTTTGAATCAATATTTATTTGATGATGTTTTTACCATCTTCATAATTGAAAAATAAACCTTAGCTATATCACTATAAGCCAGAGCCAAAAGAAAGGCAAAGGAAAATTTCTGCCACTTTGTAATCATCTTTTACATCAGAAAAAACAAAGCTTGCTTTTCAAGTACCTTTGCAAAGTTTCATTTAGGTCTGAAAATCGTCCTTCAGCAATAATTCCAGCTGTTCCCTGTTTTACAGCCTTGAGAGCCAAGGAAAGATTACGGTCCAGTTCAGTGGCTGTTTTCAGGAGACGTCCAACACATTCACCACAATATTGACAGCCCTCTGAAGTTAGGATGTAATTCACAGGACAAATGGTACAGTTCCCTCCTGGCTTACAACACTGACCAGTATTCACATCGCAAAAGCCGAACAAGTTGTCTTCTCCCTTATCACAGGTGCATGCTGAAGTAAAATATTTTAACACATTGTTTGAATAAGAGACATAGACAGACACAGACCTTAACTAAAACTTAAATTACTAGTACAGAGTAGTTATAAAAATGCTCTGAAGCATGGTATATTTTTAGGAAGATAAACTGAACTGGTACTTCCAGCAGTTCTGACCTCCTCATTTTGATAACAATAAGCATGTAAATACACTGAAACATGCAGAAGTCCAAACATTCATAGCTTCTGCAATGTAACCCAACATCTCAAGACAAGAAATTGACCCAAAATAAAACTAAAAAGAATAGAGACTGAGGTACTTACCACGACAGCCATTCTTTGTGTATTCAAAGTACCCTGCCTTACATCTGTCACACCTCCTTCCCGTCACGCCCTCTGGACATTCACACTGACCTGTTTTCACATCACATGATGTTGATAGTGATGCTGGTGCACAGTCACAATCTTCACACCCCAAACAGCTGTCAAAGTTCCAGGTATTGGGCTAAAAATTAAGTAGAAAATAGCCAGAATTTTTCTCTTTCTCTAGAGCTGTGAATTACTGATTACACCGGCATACTTCATGGAATTAACTGACTGATTACCTTGCAGCTGTCACAGGTTTCCCCAATGACATTGGGTTTACACATGCAAGACCCAGTGGTATGATTGCAAACTGCAGTTACAGTGCCACAATCATTACAAGCACATCTTGCACAGTTCTTTGCAACAACTGCATCACCATAGTAACCATTCAAACAGCGGTCACACTGGTCTCCTGTTGCAGTATTGATACATTTGAGACACTCTCCTGTCAGGGAGTCACAACTTCCATTGACGTTGTAATCAATATTACCACTGCAACCACACCTCTTACAATAGTCACCAGGATCAGAAGGGTCACCATAGAAACCATCAGCACACTTGTTGCACCTCTGTCCAACATATCCTTCTTTACAAGTGCAAATGAGGTCATTGACAGAATTCAGGGAGCATTCAGTTGCAAAGCTGTTTGACACTATTCCTAGGGGGCATTCACATATATTGCAGTCCAGTGGGGTGCCTGTGGTGGCATCACCATAGAAACCAGGTTCACAGACTTCACAGTTTGGCCCTAAAACATAAACCAGAAAAATTATTTGCTAGTTTAAAGATATTAAAAGGGATTTCTGATTAATAATCAACTTTGGCAATACAGGACACTTGGGTTTCCTAAGACCCTATACTTTGATGTTATACTAAAAAAAAACAAAAAGAAAAAAAACAGTCCAATCATCTCGAACACCATAATTTGGTTTTATCAACTGAGTTGATAATGTAAAGTGGTCATGTGATGAGTTTAAAAGCTGAGGTTTCCAACATTAGCCCTTCATCAAGGCAAATGATAAAGGCTTAACCTCAAAATTTTAGCTTTAAAACTCTTCTTGGTAGTCATATTACATTATCAGCTCTGTTGATAAAACCAAATTATCTTCTTATACTCCCCCACCGACACAGCGCCACAGATTCTTTAGAAACTTAGCCCCTTTATTCAATTATCTTGAACCCTCTTTCCATGCCAAAACTCTTTTGATCCCAAATTATGTTAAATGGTGTATATTAGAGATTCAGCACACTACTCACTATAATCAACCTTACCTGTGGTGTTGTGCAAACAACTGTAACATTCTCCACTTTCTCCATCACAGTCCTCTGAGTGATCAAAACAGTTGCAGCGTACACAGGAAGTGTTATCTGGAGCTCTAGTATAACCTTTTCCACAAAGCTGCAAATTACAACACAGAGTGATCATTGCAAGACAAATCACTGTGATCACTTTGTTGACATCTAGAATGGTTGCTCCTCAGTTTAAGAAAATGCATTATTTGTAATTTGATTCACATGTAAGAGAAGCTGGTAGTATGAATGATGATAATAAAATAATTTAACAATACACATTCCCAAGGTGGCTTTTCTTGTCCTCTGTTTCCAGGTGGAACTAGAATTTGGAATTTTGTTTTTTGTGGCAGGGGTAAAACCTGAGTACCCTGACAAAAACCATCAAGTAAGGACGAGAACCTATAACAAACTCAACCCACATCTGATGCCAGGTCCAGGAATCAAATATCAGCCACAGTGGTGGGGGGAAGGCCATCTCACTACTGTGCCATCCCAGTCCCCCAAGTAATGCAGACACGACACATTTGTAAGAGCACTCTCCCATCTCAGACAAAGCATTGTAGTGAAGATTGAAAATCTGGACCCATTGTTTTCCCCAGTAGAATCAACTACTGGGTTTTGTTCTATTCAATTTAATCCTGTCACTCCTATAGGTGCATTGGATCCTCACAAAAGAAATAATTTCCTATCAATTCAAAATGGTATGTGCAAAAGTGACTGAAACAGACTGTAATCAAGTCTTGCTATTATAAAAAAAAAAAAGGGGTGTCTTGTTTTAAGTATATTACTTGCGCAACTTGGCTTAGTGACTTTGTATCTCACCTCACAGGAATCTCCTGTAGCTTTCACTGGACATTCACATTTTTCTACACTCATTGCTCTCATTGCTCCGTCAACAGGCTCATCTACTGCAACATCCATTTCAACATCACTGAGCCTGACGTCTGAAACCACTGTGCTGTATGAGGCCCTCAGCTTCAGCGATTTTATGTCATGAAAAACTGACATGAAGTCATCCCTACTTACATTGGATCCACTGGTATCCTCCCAAAGATACTATAAGTGTCAAAAGCAATATATTGTTATGGCAACTATAAATTATATACCCTCAGAGGTAGCAAACAGAAAAACTTGAAATGACTTCAGACAACATTTGACCACAAATTGCCATTGGGTGTTCACACTCACCTCCAAAAACTGTGCCTCAATCGCTGATGTCTGTCCCGGAGAAAGTTCCAACTGCTTTTTGAACAAGAGCACTTTGCCATTTTTACCCTACAGCAAGAAGTAAGATTATTGCTTCCAACATTTTAATGGACAGTTTACAAAATTAAGACTTACTGATTGTTAAAATTTCAATAGGAATTGTCATCAAAATTAAATTCCCCCTCCCCCCAAAAATTTGTCAAAATTGTTCTTATTAATGTACACATATGTACAGTCTCAAATAACAAATATAGCATGTTACTATACACACTGCCTTCACTTTCAGCTATGGTTAAATCCATATTACACTGAGTTCTATCCACAATCATTAATAATGGAGTAGATTGTAAGTTAAGCATCAATAAAAATTGACAAATGAGACCTAATAACTTAATGCATAACAAACAGGACACTAGATTCCAGTCAAACTCTCCACACAGTCATTGCATAGTGTTTTGAGTGCAATAAAGACATCTTATCTCCATCCTTGAACTCAGGAAAACTGTAACAAAAACTTGCAACTCTCATAACTCTAAGAAGTGATTACCATGTAACTTCTATAAGTAATATACATACACTATAAAGCAAACAAGTAATAAGAATACCCAAACTTTTCAGGGAGAGGTTTTTAAATCTTGATATAGCACCAAATTCTTGTGACTAATTTACAAGGAAATGTATAGCAATTAGTGGGAAGAATTAGCAATTAGATCTTGGGAGTTAAGGGTTCAGGGGTCACCAAAAATAGATCAGGATTCCATCCAGAGGGAAGTGACACTGACCAGAGGTAAGTTTTGAGAAGGTGAGCCCTGAACTAATCTTATGTTCTAGCTTGAAAAAGATAAAGTGAACAAGTACCTCAATCACAATGTCAGGTTTCATTGTCAAGACTGGTGAACTTTCTCCTTGTGGTACTTCATAACTGATTGTGTACATCAGTTTGCCACCATAAGATGAAATCTAAGATACACAACAAATCAGTTGCTTTTTAAATACTTCCCTCGATGAACTTAGTTTACAGAGCACATCACTGAATTTCAAACTTTCAATATGTACGTATCATACATAACCATGGTTTCATAAATGAAATAGTATATTGTGATATTACAGGAAAATAACTTTGACTATAAGGAACATTCCTTTGTTTGCATCAGAGTAAAACATGATTGTGTTGTAGATGAAATGCCAAAGATCAGCTCCTTTTCACAAGCAACTAAGATGTTGCAGTCTCATGTACCTTTTGTCCAAGGTATTCCATGGGTGCTATCCAGTAGATTGGTTTGCCTTTTTCATCTCTTTGGCTGCTTACTGAGGCAGAGAGTTTAGTTTCATCAATTTTAACCACAATAGCTGGACTGTTCTCTAACTTCCAATTGTCCATGGTATTAATTTTGGACCTTTAAAGAAAATAAAACTGCATGTCATCCACGCAAGGAAGAAATGTAAAAAGCATCACATTATTAAGTTATAAATATACTGCATGTTAATTCAAAAAGGTTTTTTTCAAGGTACAAATTGAAACAGTAGTGTGCTAAAAGGCTTTCTTTATAGTTCTATAGGCATCTGCCAACATTGCTTTGGTAAGTAAACTATGTAAATGTATCTGGGAAACATAGTGGGTCAAGAATTAGTGAGCTTGATTCAGGGTTGAGAAGTCCAGAGGTCCTTGTATAAAACCTGGTTGGGTAATTATGCTGTTTTCTTGAACAAGACTCTTGACCATTGCAGTGCTTCTCCCCACCTGCAAGTTTAACTACTGCAGGTATAGGCAATCAGCCTGTGGAAGGAAATGCTAGGGGTTAGGGGGGAGGGGTAAGGGGTTATGGGTGAGGGGGGAGGGGTAAGGTTTAAGGGGGAGGGTAGTATCCTGCCATGGACTAGCATTCTATCCAGGAGGAGAGGGGGGTTAGTGACACAAATTGTTACTTCGTGAAAGAAACCCAGATAAGCTGACCATGTGGGCCATTTGGCTCAAGGTGCTGACATGGTTAGATATCAACAATTCTTACCAGTACTTATTGCCACTATCACAAACTTTAGACAGGCCATTACACCAGCACTTAGAGCAGCCATCTGGATTGTTAGCATCTAGATTGAAACGTCCAGCTGCACATTTATCACAGCGTGGTCCAGTGACTCCAGGCTACCAAAAAGGGTCAAATCAAAGAGCTTTAATTCATAAAACTTTAGTCTGCAAAGATGACTATGAGGAATAATAATGACATCACTATTGTATTTGATCAAAGTGTCTTGAGAAAGCAGTCCACCAAGTAGCCACCTAATGATAGGTTGTTTAACAAATACAATCCAGAGTTTATTCTGCTCATTCATCAGATGGATGACTTTGACAGCCAATTACTTATAGTCTTTTATCAACCCTAGCAATGTTTATTTAAGGTTATAACAGCCAAAAAAATCCCCATCCCCCCACAGATTTACTCCATGAAGAATTATTATTTTTATAGGTAGCACCCTCTAGGGGTATACCTTACTTATCAATTCAACAATCCTAAGAGCTCACCTTACAAAAGCATGTTCCACCATTGCTGTCACATATCCTACTGTCAACTCCTCTGGGATCACAACTTTCACATTTCTGGCACAAAGGATAGTTAAAATATCCAACAGCACACTTTTTACATTTCTTCCCAGTGTGAGATGGTTTACAGTTACACTGCCCTGTGTTAGGATTGCATGCTATATTGTTACCAACCACACCAAACCTCTCACAGCCACAGTCCTCACAACCAAGGATGGGGTCGTAACAGCAGGTTCCTTGCAGGCAGAATTCACAGTTTGGCCCAACGGTGTTTTTTGGACAATCACAGGCCCCAGTGATCTCATTACAGAAAACACAACGGCATCCTTAAGTTTCAAAAGAAAGCAGATGTTAATCAGGTAAAAATTAAATTGAAAATTCTTAACAGATGAAGCCTCTAACTACAATTCCAAAACAAGAACTACTCAGGCATTGGTCTGGTTTTTACAAAGACTGTCTGGTGAAAGAAGGTTTATTCTTTAGTTTGGAAAACCACCAGCACTGCTTACTCCTGAAATAAGAAAAGTGTTGGTGTACATGTGCTTTTGCCCAGGCCAAAAGGGTTTTCCACAACTGGTATATACATGCAAACAATTTTCTACCAACTTAATTTTTAGGGGAAATTTTACCAAAGAAGAATGCACTCAATTATAAATATAACCCTTTCCACTTACTTTTGCATTCAGGGAAGCCATAATACCCTGTCTTACACCTATTGCAGGTTCTCCCAATTACATTCTGACGACAACGGCACTGTCCACCAAATGTTTCACAGTTGTTGTCAACAGATCCCTTAGGGTTACAGTCACAAGGAAGACTTCCATTATTGAAGCTTGTTGTGAGTGAAAACACCGAATCTTTACAAAACTTTGGATCTGAGGTTTTTATGAAGAAGTCATCTTTGCTGCATGAATCAAGGAAATCCTGAGACAAGGGGACTGGAGCATCTTCTTGCAGGTCCCCAGTGAATACATTTTGAGGAACAAGCAGAACATAGTCCTACAAGAAAAGAAGCATACAAGAGATCATTAATTTTGTCAGCTTGGTTTAACATATGACTTTGCTTAATTGTCTCTGAAATTTCTACTTTAGTCTTAAATTCTAGTCAACAGGAAAATTAGCACAGTCCTTGCTTGTGGCCCATGGAAACATTGCATGAAACAGGGCAACTTTATGGTGATTAACAACAAATTAAATTACCTTCAATTACATCAGGAGTGCTAAGTTTTACTTGTGTTACAAAAATTCAATGATAACTTCACAGGCATACATACAGTTCAAAAACTTACTATCCATGTTGATGAGTTCATTGGAATCTCAAACTCCAGTGCAACAGTTTTTCGTTCAATATCAAAGAATGGTGAACCAGCCAAGTCCTTGATAACTGATCTGCAGCCTGATGCATGAGGGCAGTAATGGAATTTGATGGACCCTTCCACTGCACGATCGCTGGTGACTTTCACTTGGGACTCAAATGAAGAATGCTTTGGCTGATAATAGTGAACAATGGCTGCATATCTCCCTTCCTTAAGCCCATTACTTGACAGAGAATGGATCTTCAAGAAACCAAATGAAGAAAACAAGTTGATATTGTGGTACCAAGAATCACAGTAACTAAATTAAATGTGCTTTTCGCAAAAAAAAAAAAAAAAAATTTAATAAGTGGTTTCTACTTGAAGTTGATCAGCAGAGTGAAATCAGACACTTATTGAAACCCAGTCCCTCCTTCATATGCATGAGCAATGTTGTGCTTTACAGTTTACTTTGAACTATTCATTACCCACAATGCACCACTATTTGCCCAGCTGGTTTTTGTTTTTTTGACGAACACATTTTTACTGGGAAACTTTTGTACATTATCAGAGTTTTAAGAGAAAACATAAGGTTTGTCGCCTCAAAGAAGTTCAGCTCTTGTTTAGCAAAGCCATATTCTCATTCATTTTTCATTAAGCTAGAATTTTAATTTACACATCAATGTCTGTGAACAGAGTAAAAAAGGCTGATGGCCAGTCATGGAAAAATATTAATTTATTTAATGTACCATTCTGTAAACCCCTGCTCATGTCTTACTTTGTTTAAATAACAAGACCTTTGGGTTTTAATTATGAACAGACTTATGGAAGAAAAGTCATTATACTTACCCCTTCACCCAAGTACTGTAGTTTTGCTTTTGGATCCTGTTTGTTTGGAGGCTGTGGTTGATCAGGAACACTGGCATCTGGAACCTCAATTGTAACAGCTCCTTTGGGAATGGGGTATGATGTGGGAATACAAACATTGCCTTGAGTTGTACAAAGAATGCTTGGAGCAATGAAATCCAGATCCCACACATCAAGTGGAATGGCTGTAACAGAGTCCTACAACCAACAAACAAGTGTAGTAAAGAGAACTTGAATTAATTTCTGGGACCCTTTAAACCCTAAGAGTGACCAACATCTAATTTTTCCTTAATACTTCTAATTCATCCATAAGAAGTAATAATTTTTAAACAAATTCTCCTTGTCAGTACCAAAAAAATAGTGTAGAGAGGAGTATGGAGATTATAGATACTGATGTTACAGTGAAGGATGCTCAAATCATTGCATGAAAAAAAGTTGCAGTTTCAAAGGAGAAATTTAATTAACCCAAATTCCTGAATCAACAACAAAACAATGACTATTGTAAAATATTTTAACAGGATTGGTTTGGAAAACAAATATTTAGAGTCTCAGGGCAAAACAACTCAAACATTTTCATTCAATGATATGACCCAATCAAAACCCAGAAGATATATAATAGAACTTACATGTACTATGACTTTCCATCCAAGAAAATAAAAAATAACACATGATTTCCTGAGAAATGTTTTCTTATAATTTGGTTTGTTTGGAAGTTAATGTTTCGGTGAGGTATCCCCTTTTGTTATTGCAACATCCCTGAACAAAAGCACCAACCCCTGAAGTGATTACCATATAACTTCTATATCCACATATTATCCAGAAAACAAATAATGATCAGGTAGAAGTTATCTCGATCTAACACCAAATTCTCAAACTAATTTACAATGAAATGTGTAGCAACTGGACGGGAGAACTGACAATCAGACCTTGGGATTTACAGGTTTAACCACAATTTAATGACCAACATACATACCACAGCAATAGGTGAGGATGTGTCTCTGGCCAAAAGGGTAACTACTGTCCTCTGCAGTTCAGCAACATCAAACACTTTGACAGCTCCAGTGTTATCCACAGCTACTTGACGGCAGCCAAACCTGTAGTTACATTTCTGAAGGTTGAACTCTCCTCTCTGTGATCCTGCCTGATACCTCAAGTAAACATTTAACTTGATCTTCTTGTCATTAGGATAGTAATACTGCAGAACTAGGACATATTTACCAATTTTACGGATGCGAAATTCTGCTGTAACACGGGTCTGTATGAAAGAAAAACAAGAATTACAGTCCATTCATTGACAATAACAGTTAAATTTTACGCCAAGTAAACAAATGCTTTCCCAACATGGTATCACCAAGATACCCCTTTCCCTTCTCTCTCCTCTGACATCTATAAAAATTTGTCAAAATCTATCCTAAATACAATTTGTGGAACAATAAATCAACATCAAAGCTCAGTTGTTCAGAGGGCGAATAGTGTTTTCCAATGGATAAATCTCTATCCAAAGGGTACGTGTATTATGCTATCCATCAGATAGAGATTTATCCAGTGGGTAACACTACCTAACCTTCAAACAACCAGGGTCAGGACATTAAATAATTGATGAAATCTTGGATCAATGACAGTATCTGACCAACTGTAAACCTACCTCTCCCTCAACCCAACTCCAACCTTAACTTGTTTTCAGTTGACTGTTCTTGGCTTAGGGGAGGGGTGGTGACATTGATCTAAAATATCTATTTTATAAAAACATATGTAATATTAGTAATCTGACCTGTTGGTTATCTAGATTAGCCATGGCACTGAAATCCAACTGTTGCAGGACTTTTTCATCTCTAAACAGCTGTGTGGGTCTCACTCCACGACTAGTAACAATATATCCTGTTTCCAATTCTGTTGTGAAAAAGCCTGGTGCTTTTGTGCTCAGGTATGAGAACTGGTTACATAAAGTATTGATACCATTCACTTGGCAAGGTTTGGTGACTTTCTCTTCCAGTTGGTATGCTTCATAGTATACTTGTGGTAAAGCAACAACGTAATCCTGTAATAGACAAAATATAGGGTTTTCAGAGACTTTCCAATTTGGAAATAGATGTATGCCTGTTACTCAGTATAAAATAATAAAATGCAACCCCAAAATAATACCATTTTAACCTTTTAACCCCTAAGAGCAACTGGCTTCTAATTTCTTCTAACAGTATACCCTTGATATCTGATATAAAGGTCATGAGAGTAAAGGAAAGGATCATTATTTTAAGAAACCTTGATTGTCAAACTAATTCTCCGAACCAGTACCATAGAAAATGTGAAGAGAAAATTTTGGAGAATATCAAAATTTAAGTTAAGGTGTTAACAGTTTTTAACTAGCTCAAATTTCAGAGCCTAAATTAATCAAAAGTTTTCTAGATTGAAATACATTACAAGAAAATGGATGTAATGAATAATACAAGCTATGCAGGCCTACATCACTTCTGTATGCACAAATATTAATTATTTCCCAGTATTTGTAGAGATTTTTTAATTTATGAGAAATTGTTTCTTAGCTTGAAGAACTGTAAGTATCAGTAAATTATCACTCCCTGCTGATAAATCTTGTCTCATCTCTTTCCTAGTTGTAGGATAACATATTGGAATTGTAGGGAGAAGGTGCATGTTGATAACTTCTGGGAATGAAAGGATTAAGTGCTGTAATGTTGGTTCTAACTACTGGTTATATCACAACTGAATTTTAGCTCTTTTTATATGTGACTCACCAGGAGAACACTTGCTGGTGGAAGAGCCAGAATCAAATCCCATTTCCCTTTGGTCAACATGAACTGAGTAGCCTTTTCTTTCTCTCCAACAGTATGATGAGTGGCAATATTTGCTGAGCCAACCTGCTTGACTGGAAATGTGACCTTGCTGCTTTGTTTGCTTCCTTCACCTCCTTTAGGTGTCAGCATCACCTCACCAGTTACAGGTGAACTTCCATTTGTAATGGAGTAAAATATGATGTGGTAACGAGTTGTCTTTGGAATGTCCAGAGTTACTTTTATTGCTCTCTGCATGAAAGACAGAAAGTATAACATTAATAAAGAGAGAACTCTCACATTTCAGCAACTTAAATAAACCCTTACTACTTATCATCTTTTATTCATCAAATTCTTTTCAGTTTATTAATTCAAATGTGTTTCACCATCACCTTTTTTTGATAAAATACAAGGAAAACAATTGAATCATTAAATACCAGATAAATAGAGGGGGCCAGTTTATAAAGAAACTGTGGTGCTGTATCAGTGGGAATATTACAAGATTATTTGGTTTTATACACTGAGTTGATGATGTTAATGGCCACTGTGAAGATTTTCTAAAGCTGATGTTTCAAGCATCAGCCCTTTGTCAGACAAATGTTGAAAGGCTAACACTTGAATCCTCAGCATTAAATAGTCGCTCTTACAGTACCTGGATATCAGACATGGTGGCATATCCCCTCCAAGAGAAGCCAGGAAACACACTTTCATCAAAACCAAATCTAGCAGGTCGACCATCATCTGATATTGACACGTCTGGAGAGAGGACATCTTGGTCTGAGGTTGATTTAGTAGGGAGTGCCATTCCATCCTCCATCTCAGCCTTGATTTGTAGCAAAGTTGGATAATAATGCTGAGAGGCTGGCCTGAAAAGCACAAGTCAAATGTAAAATTAACACTTAACACTTAAACATCAGTATGCATATTCTCTACACCATTCTCTATACATTTCCTGTAGTATGAACAAGGAGAATTTGTTTAACAATGAGTGTCTTTAGTTGGTGATCATTACCTTTATTCTCATGACCTTAATGTTTGATTCAGGGATGATATTGTTGGAAGAAATGAGATGTTAATCACTCTTAGGGGTTAAAAGGTTGAACACATGTGAGCCATTGTAGTCACTATAGACAAGCTACACATACTGCACAGTGAGACTACAGAAATAGCATGTTAAGCTGACATGTAGACATTAAATGATCATGAATGTTAAGTCCATACCGGCTACAGTCTCTCCCATCAACATTAACTCGACAATTACACTGCCCTGAGCTGACATCACAAAACTGGTCATATGCTCCTCCAACATCACAGTCACAACCTATAACATGTATCCAAAATTAATTCACTACTTACAGCATTAATCTAAATCTCTTTGAAGGTGCAAATTCCAAAAATTTACTTAATTCTAGATACTATAGTGCACTTGTTGACCTGAAAGAGAAAGGTTAGAAGGTTACTGCCGATGAACTGGCAAACCATCCACAAGAGGGAAAGGGAGTGACACCACTTATGCAAGAGCAGTTATAGTCTATATTGACACACACCCATATTACCCCAACTTTCATTTAAAAACCCCAGGCTATCATGCAAAAAAGCAATGAGTGTAACCTTGCCTGTATGATTAAAACAACTGTATTACCTGTACAGCCAAACACTTTACGGCCTTCCAGACCATAAAACCCTGGTTTGCATCGAGTGCACTTCCTGCCTGCAACAAAAAGCTTACAAGGACACTGTCCTGTTTCCTTGTCACAAATGCGAAGGCCACCAATCACACCATCCATATTGCACTCACAGTTATCACAGCCTAGAGGATTATTGCTATCAAGGAAGTAGTAGCCATCTTTACACTCTGTGCATGCAAGACCTTGCACGTTATCCTTGCAGTCACATTGACCCTGTGATGACAAGTTCGACAAATTTAATAAACTAAATAAAGGAAAGTAACTCACATGAACTTCAATCCAGGTTTTATGGAAATTCTATTACCATGCAATAAAA